AAGGAAGGAGGAATTTGAGGCTAGGTGGGTGGGATCCTCAAGTTCTGTTTGTACCATATACAAATGAGTTACTTGATTTAGCTGTGTGGTTTGACAGGTTACACAGTGAAAGACGGAATGGGATCTTAAAGGTCCTCAACTCTTGCCCTGACAAGCTTGGCAGAGGCAGCAAAGAGAGTTTAGGGGGTTCTGACTTTGAGTCCATCTCTGTCCCTTCATGTGGGGCCTTGAGCAGGGCCCACTGCCTCTTCTGTAAAGCCTACTGACATGGCTCCCACACTGTCTCTGGTCTCCTGCACCCATTCCTGTTCTAGGCGTCTTCTTCAGCCCTCCGGCCCAGCCACTCTTCTGAACGTCTGAAGTTCTGTTTAACCATCTTACACACCTTGACATTAAAAAAACAAAATGTTGCAGGCAAAAATTCATTCTGACCTAACAAGGAGAGTTTGCTGGATAAGAATCTTGAGGCAGAAAGCAGAAATCAGACGAAGGGAGCTTCTACTTAGAAGAAGCAAGGACTTGGGCACTGGGAGGCTAGGCTGTATGACTGGGTCCGGAGCAGATTGCATGGAGGAGGCATCACACAGCTGGCTTCTGTCTGAGCCTTGGCATGAGGGACTGGCATGGTCAGGATGGGGTCAAGAAGCATATGGCTCCTGGGGGTGGTGGGTCACTGCACGCTACTGTGGCTCGGCGATGCTTCATTCATGATCTTTGAAAATAAGCACAAGGACCAGCTGGAGACGGTCACACTAGAGGGATGCTCACCTCTAAGCTCCCCAGACAGTCTGAAAGTCTTCCAGGGTGAATGGACAAAGAGTTGGACCCATATGCCATGGGGTTAGTTGTGGCATATAGAATATCTTCCTAGGTCAGGGAGGGCCACAGTCGCATCCTGGAGGGTGCAGGACTGACCAGATCCAACATCTTGTGTCTTGAAAGTTTAATTGGCAAATGATGGTTGTGTGCCCCCTGGGCTGGGCACCGGGCCACTGATATACATGGGACACACTTTCAGAGTCTTCAGAATCATGGCCACAGCCTTGAGCGCTCCAGCTGATCCACAGAGAAAGGAGAGGGGCAGACTGCCAAAGCCAGAAAGAACTGAGGGTGAAGTGACTGGCTGGAGGATGAGAAGCAGAGAGGACATGAAAAGGGATTCTGGCAGAAACAAGTGCATGTGCAAAGGCTTGGGTGCATGAAGAGTGAGGTGTGTTTGGGAAAGTGTGCATTTGGTTCTGATGCTGCAAGGGGCATGCTGGAGAGTGGGAGGGCAGGGGGTGAAACTGCACAGATGGGTGTGTAGGACCGAGCTAAAGGGCTCCAAATTTGGGAGGGGGCTAGAACCTTGGATACTAAAGTTGGGAGCCTTCACTATGGCTAACTAATTGTGATTTTTGGCATTGAGGGGAGTGGTTTTATAGTAATGATGAGGTCCATTTTTCTCATTCAACAAATATTTATTGAAAGCTTTCTTTGCTTGAGGTATTACCCTGGGCCTGAGATACGACCTGCTATGCCAAGACAGACAGTTCTCCTAACTGCCCCAGGCCTATTACTATCTAGTTAAATCCCTAAAGGAGCTAAGATAAATACAGTAGGTGCTCCGATGGAGATCCTGGGTGATGTGAGAGTGAGAGAAGAGGGCCATTAGGGGAAGCCTCTCTGAGGGTGCCACATTTGAAATGTTAAGAGATAAGAGCAGCTTTCCAGACAGGAGGAACAACACCTGTAAAGTCCTTGAGGTGGGAGAAGTGTGATGGGTATGAGAAACAGAGTGGCTGGAGCGTGGTGTTAGAAGGGACAGGGAAGGTGGTGGCCTATGTTAATTAGCATTTCATACAGATGAAATGAAAAGGCACCCTGTGCAGTCAGGGTCCCATCCTCTTGCCCTGGGGGAAACAGTGCTCAGAGCTGAGGATACCTGTCACCACGGAAGCTCACAAGGCCCCAAAATCGTCTGTTAGTCACACTGCTTATCTGGCTGTGACCTGTGTCCCAGGAGACAGAGAGAATCCAAGATAAGTTCACTTTTCCTTTTATCACACCTAGCCATCTGGCCTGGCCTCCTGCTAGTGTACCTTCCCTCTAATGACTGGATGCCTCAGCCAGGGCTCGACCTCTGAGAATACGTCAGCAGGATTTGGACCTAGACAACCCTGAGAACGAGGTTGGAAGGTTAGTCCTCAGTCCAGACTCCTGGCTGTGGGCAGCGCCATTTGTCTCCTGGGGTTAGGGGGTTACCTCTTCCACACAAATCCCTACATACGGACTTCTCCAGACCAGTTTCAGCCCCACCCCGCAGATAGAGACACTGCCTCAGCCAGGACTAGAGCCCAGTTCTGACTCCTCATACTCACTCCTATCTCCTTTGGGAGGATATTCCCCCGTAAGCATTTCGAGCAGATTAGGGCTTCACTCTTCTCACCTAGGGCAGAAAATGCCAGGGAAGCCCTTCTTCCTTGGAGATATTTAGGCCAAACAAATCAATTTTTGAAATTCCCAGTGAGTCCTGTCTCTGCTGGACACTGATGGCCCCTGGCTTCAGGAGACTGCTCCAAATGTCCAGCTCTTGGGGGAAACTGCCCCTTGGCTAGTCAGAGAACCATCCTGTCCTCCCTACCAGACACTGGGGAGTGGTACAATTTTGGCTCCCCCCTCCCCCCAGGCCTGGCTTCCTCTGCACCAGAATCCAGTAGGAGCCATGCCAGCCCCTGGGTCTGTCTGAGCCTTGGTCCCTGTGATACAGCCTGTGTAATCACTCTTGTGTGTATGTATTTAGTGTCTTGCAGTTTCATCACGTGTATGTATCTACTGTCAAGATACAACAGTTCCATCAGTTAGCACATGCAAGGATTCCTCATCACTTTCTTATAACCACACCCATGTCCCTTCAGGTCTCCCCACCACCCTCTCCCCCTAGCCTCCCCACCAACCACCAGTTTGTTCCCCATCTCTATAATTAGGTAATTTCAAGGATGTTTTTTAAATAGAATTCATACAGCACATGACTTTCTGAGATGGCTTTTTCCACATCATTCACTTGAGATTCATCCAAGTTGTTGCTTGTATCAGTAGTTTGTCTCTTTTTTTTGTTGAGTTGTATTCCATAGTCTGGATGTACCACAGTTTATTAACCATTCATCCATTGAAGAATGTCTAGGTTGTTTCCAGTTTTTGGCGATTACAAACAAAGCTGCCACAAACATTCATATTTTTGTGAACATGTTATTTCTATGCAATAAATGCCCAACAGTAAATTGCTGGATTGTATGGTACTTGTATGTTTAGTTTTAAAAGAAACTGCCAAACTGTTTTCCAGGGTGATTATATCATTTTACATTTCCACCAGCAGTGTACGCGTGATTCTGTTTTTCCACATCGTCGCTAGCATTTGGTGGTGTCACCGTTTTTTATTTTAGCCATTCTGTTAGGTTTGTTTAGTGATAACTCATAGTGACAGATGAATAGATTCTTTTTGGATAAGGGATTAATTTTATTTATAGATTAGAGAGAGGAGGGGGATGAGAGACATCAATTTGTTGTTTCACTTATGCATTCATTGGTTGCTTCCTGTATGTGCCCTGACCAGATATCAGACCTGCAAGCTTGGTGTATTGTGATGACACTCTTAACCAACTGAGCTACCCGGTCAGGGCCAGATGGATAGATTATGTGCGTTGTCCCCAGCCCCTGTGGCACTGGGCCTCATTTTGTGAAATTCCATTGGACCATTACCATCTCAATAACTGGTAGCCCCTCGAAGGCAGGACTTAAACTCACTCATCTGGCTTCTGCTCCCAGCCTGGGCCTGGACCTAGGTAAACACTTGTTTTAGTCCTCACTGGGAAAAAGAAAGTTAGAATTAATATGCTGAGAAAAGCCATTGGATCTGACCCAGCCCCTCACAGCAGTTGGCTACTGCTGTTTGAGAAGCACCTTCCAGCCCTGGCTGGTATGGCTCAGTTAGTTAGATTGTTGTCCAGTGCAGCAAAGGGTCGCTGATTCGATTCCTGGTCAGGGTACATGCCTGAGTTGCAGGTTCTCTCTTCAGTCAGGGCAATCATGAGAGGCAGCCAATCGATGTTTTTCTTTTTTCTCTCCCCACCTCTCCCTCTAAAAATCAATAAACATGTCCTTGAATGGGAATACAATAAACCTTTAAAAAAATTAACTTTCTTTAAAAAAAAAAAAAAAAAAGCACCTTCCATTTGAGACAAAAAGTTTCAGCATTTAGAAGCTAGCCTGTGGGACTTGGGTGTTCTGTGCCCCTACTGTGAGCAAACCCCAGACCAGGCTGGGACTGGGCTTCAGAGATAACCTCAACTCCCACCTATGGCAGGTCCTGGTTCCCTGAGTCTTCGTGGAGAATGGGGAGTCAGACCAGACATGATGGAGTATTGAGGGAGGCAGGCTGGTGTATAGGGTTTTCACATAATGAGGTGAAGTGAGGTGGGAAAGGCAGGAGGGGGAAAGGGTTAGCTGGGCCCTGAAAGATGCGTTGGTCTTTGATCAGACATGGAGGGGGCATCCAAGTAGAGGGAGCAGGGGTAGAGGGAAGGTAGAGCAGAAGGAGAGGAGCGGTAGGTCTCAGTGAGCCCTGAGGAAAGCAAGTTCAACTATTCCTTAGCTGTCACTGCCTCCCCTATCATGGATCAGGCTCTGTCACAGCCTGTGGCACCATGAACTTTAACTTTTAGCCCATGCCCCAGATGGATACCACCTTTGTGTGTGACTATGAGGTGGAGGGTGTCTTTGGTCCATGTTTGCATCCCCCACTGAACTTGGCCTTGGGCTAGCATGAGGGTGACCAGGGCCTCTATCTGTCTGTCTTGGTCATTGCTGTGTCCGACCCTCATTCTCCTGCTCCAGAAATCCCTGCTGAGGGAGTGGCTGAGGCCAGAGCTAGAACCAGATCAGGTAGGGCCTCAGACTTGAAAGGGGATTAAGAGAGTTGGGGGCCTCACCTTCTCCCCTGCCCTTCTCTCACCCGTCTGCAGGTTCATCATGCCTAGTGGCATATAAGAAGACCCCACCACCGGTCCCTCCACGCACCACGTCAAAGCCGTTTATCTCAGTCACGGTCCAGAGTAGTACTGAGTCTGCCCAGGATACCTACCTGGACAGCCAGGACCACAAAAGCGAGGTGACAAGCCAGTCAGGCCTGAGCAACTCATCGGACAGCCTGGACAGCAGTACCCGACCACCCAGTGTGACACGAGGCAGAATCACCCCAGCCTCTGAGGCCCCAGAACCACCTCCAAAGCATGCAGCTCTGAAGAGTGAACAAGGGACGCTGACTGGCTCCGAATCCCACCCTGAGGCCATCCCGAAAAGGAAATTGTCATCTATAGGAATACAAGTAGGGGGCCCTTTTGCACTCTGTGTCCTCGGCTCGCTCCGTGCACCTGTCTGTGTGTAATTACATCTGGTAGAGGCCCACTAGGTCTCCTGGGCAAAAGTGATTTATCTATGTATTTTGGAGGATCAGTCCCAAGTAACCAAACCAAATTCCACCCCTAGCCACACCTTCATTACCTTTGCCCACACCTGCTGCGAAGTCTGCAATTGTTGGTACCTGTCCCTCCTCCTCCAGTGGGTCATCCCAATGAATGTAGTTACACTCAGCCAGCCATCTTTTGTCCACTCTTTGTCCACTGTCTGTCTGTCCACTCCACTTTTTGCCCTGCCAGCCGATACGTGGGAGGCGGGACTGGCCTAACAGTTCTCTAATCCAAGGTCAGCTCGGGTGCGGAGGCCACAGCCCCGCTTGGCGGTGGGAGCAGCATGGAGCATAGACGCGGATGGGCCAGGGGCCCAGGACCCAGGGCCCTTGAGCCACAGGGGTTGCTCAAGGGGAACTTTGCCCAGAGCCCTCTCGGGCTTGGGGACAGGTAGGTAGCTCAAGACACCAGGCCCACGTCAAGTTGAGAAGTGTGATGCTGTTCCAGATGTCTCTCTCCATGGGAAAGGATCCAGGGATATAACTCCCCAGGACCAAGTAGCCAAAGCTAGCAGACCCTCCTGGAAGCCCAACTCAACTGTGCACCCATAGCCATGACACAGCATGGCAGATGCACCAGTTTCCCATCATTGCTTCACTGCCCCTTCTGCACACAGTCAGCATCAGTAATCTACCTTTTATTAGCAGAGCTGGGAAAACTTGGGCCCTGCCTTGCAGTTTACAAAATTTGTTCTAAATCCAGATTAAGAGGATTCTCCCTGCCCTGACTAGACCTCCAAACTAAAGTGGAACACACTCGGCAGAGAATGAAGGCAGCTACATTGGGCCAAGGTCTTGGAAGAGGTGGAACCCCATCCCCAACCCCAAGGGACAATCAAGAAGCTCAAGGAAGTATGCACTGTAGCTTAGGATCTATGATTGCCTTAGGATGGAAGGGATCTCCATTTTCCTAGCCGCTGATGAGCAGTTGGACACAACCAAGTAGATGACAAAGCAGTAGAATGCAGAAGGGGCAGGGAACATAAAGGGCTCACTTGCCAATTTCTTGCACTTGCCTGAAATTTTTTCCTCCAAGAGACAGCTCTGAACTTAAGTTCTCCCACATATATAAAGAGAAAATTGGCCAGGAGACAATTCTTTTTACTGGGCTCCTTCATGAGGTTTCCTGCTCCTGCCCTGTATTGTGTTCCAGGAGGGACTCCTAGGAATGCAGAAAGTAGCCTAGTCTCTGACTCTTGGTCCTGACCACCCAGGGTCTTTGTTTGGGCAGCCCCACCCTCTCCTGGCTAAACCAGACGCTCTTATCTTTCCCAAAACTCTGAAAGAGAGCTAGGCTTAATCCTTGATTCCTTTTGCCCAGAAGTTTACATGGGGATAAGAACTATAGTTCTTGGGCCCATTCTGGCCTTCCCCTTCCCCAGATTCACCTCCATTCCCATTCCATGCTCTTGTCCGATGATGCTGCATTTCCTGAGCTTCTTGCTGAGGGAGAAATGTGGCTGCATCCCCGTGTCAAGGAGGAGACTGGTGCTCAGCCCCCTGCCCCAGAAGGCCCCCCAGTCCCTGCTTCTGTATATCCAAAAGACTGGAGAGTCCTCAGTTTCCAAAGATAGCCTGACAGTTCTTGTCCCACTGCTTTGTACCTTAAGCCCTAGGTCAAGTGTATGTTCTCCCTCATTCATGAGCAATGATGGAAGGGCTGGTCTGGCTGCTCCATGGCCACACACCTTTCCCAGGAAAAAAAAGGCAGGCCCACAGCATCATTGCTGCCATGTTTCCTTCCACTTCATGAGTATAAAGTGCTAGCTTTGCACTTGGCTCTGGTCCTGGTCCTTCCTACTGCTCCCCAAGCACACGAGTGCTGAAGGTGATCTCAGCCACGTGTGACCAAGGACCAAGGATAGCACCCCATAGTGTCCAGGTACTTTACCAGTTTTTTCTTTGGTGGCAGTTTTCAAATCCAGAGCTACTTAACTATCCAAGGTTTGCCCCTAGTACAGGCACCTCCAGCCTGTCCTTCAGCTGCAGGGTTGGGGGACTGACCTCGAGACAGCCCCATCTTCAACTACACCAGATAACGGCTGTGGCTTTGTGTGTGTGTGTGTTCTTTCTCTTTCGTCGTCCTTTTTTTCTTCTCTGATGCGTGTAAAGGAGAGGACTAGAAGGAACGGTTCCCACCTCTCGGAGGACAACGGACCCAAAGCGATCGATGTGATGGCACCCTCCTCAGAGTAGGGAAAGCCAGTCATCTCCACCCCACCCCACCTCCCGCCCACCTGCCCGCCCGCCTCCGCGCGAATGAGCAGTGCCCGGCTTAACCTGGTCTGGCCTCGGGCCCACGTGCAGTGTCCGCATGCCTCGTGTTTGTCTGTCCACACGTCAGTTTGCGTCGTCCCACTAATGTGAATTTCAGCAGCAAGTGTGGTGTTTGTTTTTTATTTTTGTCTTTGTCTCCGTGCCGTTGCTGTCATTGTCCTTCAATAAGGTTGACTGCATTCAGCCAGTGCCAAAAGAGGAGCCCAGTCCCGCTACCAAATTCCAGTCCATCGGGGTTCAGGTAGAGGACGACTGGCGGTAAGTCGTACGGAGGTGGTGGCGGCTTCTCCCCTCTCCTCTTCCTTCCTCTGCTCTCTCCTCCCCTGTGCCTTTTCCTCCTGCTCTCCCTAACCCACTTCTCCTTGCTGGATTTCTAATAACCAAGCTGGGTTTGGGGTGTGGGCTGTGGCCCAGGCATGGGAGGCTGGGCAGGAGGTGGGCGGGCAAATGAGCAGTTGCTCTGTGAGATGAATCAGCCCGCAGGGGGTCAAGGCCGGGCTGAGACATGAGCTACCCCGATGTTTGGTGGTCTTCCTGGCCCCACTGCAGTAAACAGGCAACCTTATGACCTTGTCTGTGTGTGTGTGTGCGTGTGGGTGTTGGTGGGGTGGGGCAGAGCCAGGGCTGAGCAGAGAATGAGATGGAGCTGTGGGTCCTGCTTCAGGCGCATGGTGAGCAGATGATGCATCCGTTTCTCTGTCTCCCGTGTGTCCGGTTGGGGTGGTCTCTGATCTTTGGCCCTCTTAGTGACTCTCACCTCTTCCTGTCCCCACCCCACTCCACCCCCACCCACAGAAGCAGTGCCCCCTCTCACAGCATGTCCTCCCGACGGGACACCGATTCAGATACCCAGGATGCCAATGACTCAAGCTGTAAGTCATCTGAGAGGAGCCTCCCAGACTGTACCCCACACCCCAACTCCATCAGCATCGATGCCGGCCCTCGGCAGGCCCCCAAGATTGCCCAGATCAAACGCAACCTCTCCTATGGAGACAACAGCGACCCTGCCCTAGAGGCATCATCGCTGCCCCCACCCGATCCCTGGCTTGAGGCCTCCTCCAGCACCCCAGCAGAGCCAGCACAGCCAGGGGCCTGCCGCCGAGATGGCTACTGGTTCTTGAAGCTACTGCAGGCAGAAACAGAGCGGCTGGAAGGCTGGTGCTGCCAGATGGACAAGGAGACCAAAGAGAACAACCTCTCTGAAGAAGGTGGGTGCGACAAGGACATCCCCCTGGGGTGAGGAGAGAATGGGTGCACAGCTAGTTCTCCAGCCTCTGTCCTGATAGCCTCAGAGACTCCACATGGGGAGGGTCTCTCAGGTTCTCTTCTTGGATCAGCTGTGAGCTCATCTTTTATTTTCATTCTTTCTTCCATCCACCCATCCATCTATGTACCTAGCCAGACCTTTTTCCAGAAAGGATTTATGGCTGTAGCTGCTAATTGAGTATGCTGTGAGGTCAGCCACACCCAGGTTTGAATCCTGGCTCTTCTTCCCTTACTAGTGAAGTGACCTTGATCACGTTACTCTGAGCGTCCATTTCCCTACCTGTCACGTGGAGCTAATCCTGCCCTCTAACTGCATACGCATATTGTAAGGGTTGAATATGGCAATGCATGTGAAGGACCCAACAAAGTGCTGTTGCACCACAATTATGCCTTCAGCAGCTCTTTATTGAGCACCTACTACATGGGCCTCAGTAGAGTGTGAGGAGCTATGAATAGATGAGACAGAAGTCATTATTTTTCCACCTATGTTTCTATCTATACGATGCCTATTTCTAAAAATTCCCGAGGAATTATGCCCTAGCTGGTGTGGCTCAGTGGATTGCACGCCAACATGTGAACCAAAGGGTCACTGGTTTGATTTTCAGTCCAGGGCTCATGTCTTGGCTGTAGGCCAGGTCCCTGGCTGGGGGCATGCAGGAGGCAACCACACATTAATGTTTATCTCCCTCTGTTCTCCCTCCCTTCCCCTTTCTCTGAACATAAATAAATAAAATATTTTAAATAAATAAATACAATACACTTTTAAAAAAAATAAATAAATAAAAATTCCCCTGAGGAATCAGTTCAAGAAAGCTAGAAATATGTAGGGAGCCTAAACCCACAGGTGGTCAATATATAGGAGAGCAGGGTTTGGAGGCAGGCCCCTGTGTAAAGCTCCAGGGCACTGTCCCAGAAGCCACGCCCTGTGCTGGCCATGTTTAGCCAAAGCTCCAGTCCCCAGTTAGCCCCCTCCACAGAACATCCAGGAAGGACGGGTCTCCAGAGTATCCAGAGGGAAGGAGCCAGCATCACACTGACAGTGGGGTGGGGCCTGAAGAAGCCCTTCGATGACTCAGAGTGCTTCAGAGTCAGTTTTCACTGTCTTCTAAGCCAGTTCCCATCTTTAAGGTCACACCCACTGTGCGTATGTGCAGGGAACTGTTATGAGGTATATGCCTAATAACTTTGTACAATAATAGTGTTTTAAAAATAGGAACGGAGGCAAGGATCAGTGAGAGCTCTGTAAGGCTTCTAATAAACCGTCCAGCCCACCTTCTTACCCTCCTCTACTGCCAGCTTCATCAGCTGTGTATTTTGTATTTGTGTTTACCTTCATGTTTCTTTTTTAATGTGATTATCTCTTGTTTCATCTGTAAAATTCATCATCATTATACATTGAGTTCCTGCTATAATAGATGAGTACACCTACACCTCTTGGGTCCCACCTTTGTATGTTATATCATATTTTGGAGTTAAGTAACCAATATTTCTGTTTACTATGAGCATGTAAATAATGTTTACTGTAGAACCTAATAATATAATTTCATTTTCTTACACATTTTGTTTTTCCTAGAATGAGTAATTTCCTCATCTTCCTTTATACTTTACTTTATAAGCTCCTAATGGTAATTTTTCCACATGCTCCACTGGATCCACCAATCTTCCAGATGTGCAAACACGATTTCCTGTTTGTCCTGGTGCTCTCTTCTGCCCTCTGCTCTGATCTGGCCAGGTTGCTTTCTGGGTCTGCTGTCCAGTGATTTCCCTTTTCATCCCCTGGGACTGCCCTTGGCAACTTCCCCATGATGGACACCCAGCTTTTTGGACCATATGGCCTTTTGCTTTCTTGGCTTCAGTCTCCCATTTTACTAGAGCATACTTCCAACTGCCATGTCTTTAATTCAGACCTCACAGTTTGCTGGGTGTAGAGTTGAACGTTATAAATTATATATAAACGTGTTGAAAATAGTTTTCCCTCAGAATCTTAAAGGCTGTAATGTGTTAGCTTTTATTACTTGTACTGAAAAGTTTGATGCCATTCCAATTCTCAATCCTTTGTATTGTTTTATCTTTGGAAGCTATTAGGATCTTCACTTCTCTTATAAAATTTCTATGTTGTGCCATGGAATGGTTCTTTGTCCATTTATTATACCAGTAATAAATAGGTCATTTCTTTTTTTAAAAAAGATTTTACTTATTTATTTTTAGACAGAAGGGAAGGGAGGGAGGAAGAGGGAGAGAAGCATCAATGAGTGGTTGCCTCTTGCGCTGCCCTCCTGGGGACCTGGCCCACATCCTAGGTGTGTGCCCTGACTGGGAATCCAGTCAGGATTATAGATTTGGTTCGCAGGCTGGCACTCAATCCACTGAACCATACCAGCCAGGGTTGAATAGGCCATTTCTGTGTGGAGACTCTGGCTTCCATGTCTGAGAGTAGTCTTGAATTAATTTCTAAACATAATTTCCTCTCTTCCATCTTCTCTGTTTTCTCTGTCAGAAATTGTTGTCACTCAGCTCTTGGGCCTGCCGGATTGATCCTCAGTCTTGGATCTTTTTTTCCTTGCCTATTTTTATTTCTTTCTGGAAGGTTTTCTTTTTCATTCTTCACACTGTAACAACTTTATTGAGATACTCACATGTCATAAAATTCGCTCTTTTAAAGTGTACAATTCAGTGGCAGTTAGTACACTCACGGTGTTGTGCAACCATCACTACTATCTAATTTCAGTACATGTTCATTGTTCGAAAAAGAAACCCCATAACTGTGAGCAGTCACTCCACATTCCCTCTGTGGATTTGCCTGTTCTGGACATTTATATAAATGGAATTATACAACACGAGGTAGTTGTGTCTGGCTTCTTTGGCTCTGCATAATGTTTTCAATACTTCATTCCTTATTACTGAATAATATTTCATTTTACGAATATACTACATTTTATTTACACAACCGTCTGTTAATGAACATTTGGGTTATTTCCATTTGGGGGCTACTATGAATAATGCTGCTATGAACATTTGTGTACAAGTTTTGTATAGATATATGTTCATTCCTTTTGGATATATACCTAGGAGTAGAATTGCTGGGTCATTTGGTAACTCTGTATTTAACTTGAGGAACCTGCCAAACTGTTTTCCACAGTAGTACACCATTTAACATTCCCACCAGCAGTGTATGAGGGTTCTAGTTTTCCCACATCCTAGCCAGCTCTTACAGAATTACTGGTCTTTTTTATTATACCCATCTAAGTGGGCATGAAGTAGTATCTCATTGTGGTTTTGATTTGCATTTCCCTGATGGCTAATAATGTGGATGGTCTTTGCATAGAGAAATCTATTGAGGTCAGGTTTTCTTCACTTTATCTCCAAACTCTGTCCATCAAATTATGTTCACTACAGCCATCTATATCAGAGCTCTTTCTTATTATGTTTCTTTTTCATAACATTCTGCCTATTTTTTATGAATAGAGTTTCTTTTATATATATTTATATATTTATGACTTACATGTATTTTTTTTTTAATTTTTATTTTGACCCTGTGTTGTCTCTGTTTCCTTTAGGTTTCTTTTTCTTTTCAGGTTAGAGGCTCTCCTGGAATGTCCAGTGATCTTTGGTTCTTTATTCATATTTAAAAGTGAGGAATGGCCCTGACTAGTGTGACTCAGTTGGTTGGGCATCATCCTGAAAAGCAAAAGGTCATTGGTTCAATTCCTGGTCAGGCACATACATGCCTGGGTTGCAGCCTCAGTCTCCGGTTGGGGCACATGCGAGAGGCAACCGGGTGAGATTTTTCTCTCACATCAGTGTTTCTCTCCCTCTCTTTATCCCTCCCTTCCCCTCTCTAAAATAAATAAATAAATAAATAAATAAATAAATAAAACCTTTTTAAAATATAAATAATAGTAAGGAACTGACCCAGGAGCAAGAAAGGAAGAAACAGGAGATTGCTGCTTTTGTTATAAGCCTAGTGGTTCCCCCTGTTTTTTAATTTGTGATTTAAGTTAAAATAAAACTTAATTTTAGAGTTTCCAAAAGCTAACTATATAAAAGAATAAAAACAGCAAAAGTCCTGATAATATGCTGGTAACGTTAGTACTATATGGTAATAGCATCAAAGATGAAGATATTATTTACACATCATGATCAAAACTCTTTAATGGCAGGATGAAAGCTATCATGAGTAAGCTGTGGTCAACTCTTTTGGGTATATACCTAGGAGTGGAATTGTTGGTTCATATAGTAATTCTGTTTAACATTTTTTATTATTTTATTATTGTAAAATATATACAACAAAAAAATTGCCATTTTAACCACTTTCAAGTGTACAATTCAGTAGTATTACTTAAATTCACAATGCGACCCATCATCAATATTTCCAAAACTTTATCACCCCCAACAAAAATTATGTACCCATTAAATAGTAACTCCTTTCTCCCCTCCCATGCAGCCCCTGTCTCTGTGATTTTGCCTATTCTAGATATCTCATATTGAAATGTCCTTTTATGTTTAACCTGTCTTCAAGATTCATCCATGTTGTAGCATGTATCAGAACTTCATTCCTTTTTATGGCTGAACATTTCCATTGTAGGTAGATATAAAGTTTTGTCCATTCATCTGTTGATGAACACTTGAGTTATTTCCCCCTTTTGATTACTGTGAATAATGCTGACATAAAGTATCTGTATCAGTCCCTGTTTTCAGTTCTTTAGGATGTTGTACCCGGAGTGGAATTGCTGGGTCATATGGTAACCTATGTTTAGCTTTTTTGAGGAGCCCCCAAACTGTTTTCCACAGTTGCATCATTTTCCACTCCACCAGCAATGCATAAGGGTTCCAGTTTCTCATCAACTTGAACTTGTTGATGTTCCATCTTTTAAAAAAATGATAGCTATCATAGTAAGCATTAAGCAGTATCTGATTCTCATTTTGATTTGCATTTCCCTAA